TTTTTTAAATGGTTTATTTGATTAAGACCAAAATAAGATATTTTGTCGAATAATAATTGTAATGCTTCGTCTTCACCTACGACCGGGAGTAAAAATGATTCATTTTCAATGTCTGTAATAAAGTCTGCGTTTCGTTGATTGAAGTCGCCATAAATATGCAGTTTTACTTCTGGTTCCATATTTGACATTATAGTTTCAACAATTTGAAAAAATAGTTCAAAAGACTGCTTGTGGGCATGTTTAGGTGGAAAATACACAGAAGAAAAAATGTGTATTTCACCGGCAATAAGTGCTTTGACCCAGATATTTTCGAATTCCTTGTGCTTATTTGTTATGATTTCTTCAGAAGTAAAGTCAGCATTGATGGCAATGAGGACTCCACCACCAGACTTTTTATTACAGAGTTGAAAATTCCTGTCGTGCCGGAATACATTAAAATTGTTTCCAAAAATTTCTTCGCTTCTGACGCTTTCGTCCCAGCTTGTTTCAGTTCCAAGAATTATTTGAAAAGAAGAAGATAGAATGTTCTGGTGGATTTCTTTCATTTTAGCTGGGCTTTTCAGGCGATTGAAATTTTGGCAATACACCAAAATTTCAGTCGCATTCTGTTGAGGAAGTGAAGAGATTTTTGGAGGGTCAGTATTACTTACATTAGTAGGGTCTACCTCATGTAGAGTGTCGTCATTCGATAATAATAATTCCCTTGCATGGGAATAGTCGTCGTTACTTCCTTTAGTAGAGTGCGTCAGTGCCGTTGAAAATTTGGAGGACTGTAAAATTTGCGAGCGGCCTCCCTAGTTTGCTGCAGTCGTTGTGTGCGTTCACTAAGTAGGAACGCGCGGTGTGAATTCAGGTCTGCCAAAGCGTCGGTGCGTGGAATTCCGAGTTCTTCGTGAACGTCCAGGAAAATTTCGCGTAAAAGGGCTGTTTCCGTTGGTAGTCCTTCTGCTGCCAGCATTAAAGTTGCACTAGTTTTAGTGATTCCGCGAATACATACTGAAGGTGGCTGGTCGTGCAAGTATGAAAGATAAGTCCGCACAATGTCCATAATTTTGGGGTCCCGCAGCCGTGCCTTCAAAAAGCGTCGGTCGCCAATTGCAGACTGTTCCGTGAGTCTGACTATAGGCAGATGCATTGGGTCCAGGATTGGAGGGTGTTCATGTCCGGTTGGCCTTTCGGCGCGATAAGGGTGAATAGTTTCCCCTTTTTCGAAGTTAATGAATTTTAGTCCATTGTCTGTGCTTGGTGGACGAGAAAATTGTATACGTGCAGCAGCCAAAAGCTCTTTGTCCAGAGGTAATGCCGTATGTGCATGTGTGGAGTTAAGTGTCGACGTTCTTATTCCATTGCTATGATTGTTGGTATTGCTGTTGTTGTTGTTGTTGTTGTTGTTGTTGTTGTTGTTGTTGTTGTTGTTGTTGTTGTTGTTGTTGTTGTTTTTGTTGTTGTTGTTGTTGTTGTTGTTGTTGTTGTTGTTGTTGTTGTTGTTGTTGTTGTTGTTGTTGTTGTTGTTGTTGTTGTTGTTGTTGTTGTTGTTGTTGTTGTTGTTGTTGTTGTTGTTGTTGTTGTTGTTGTTGTTGTTGTTGTTGGTGGTGTTATTATTGCTGTTGTTGTTGTTGTTGTTGTTGTTGTTGTTGTTGTTGTTGTTGTTGTTGTTTTTGTTGTTGTTGTTGTTGTTGTTGTTGTTGTTGTTGTTGTTGTTGTTGTTGTTGTTGTTGTTGTTGTTGTTGTTGTTGTTGTTGTTGTTGTTGTTGTTGTTGTTGTTGTTGTTGTTGTTGTTGTTGTTGTTGTTGTTGTTGTTGTTGTTGGTGGTGTTATTATTGCTGTTGTTGTTATTGTTGTAGTTGCCTGTTTTGTTCTTGTTGTTGTACTGATATGAATTTTCCTGGTGATGTTCCTTTCGTTGCTTTCGCCTACGTCTGGCTTTTTCCTTTTCTTTTTCCTGAAGGCGACGGGAACGCTGTTTGGTGTCAAATGCAGTCCAGTCGCGTTTCCATATTTTTTTATTTCCTAGCATTCGCCAGCTGGGGGCTGGTTCGTCACCGACGTTCTGCAGTTCAATTTCTATGTTGTTACATGCAATTGGATTGCCAGTATGTGCTGCTTCAGAAAAGGTTTTTGCCATTTCTTCCATATGTGCTTTTACATCGGAAGCTAGAATAGCATTTGAGTCCGCTAAGTCGTTCTTAATTTCCATAATTAATTGTGGAATTAGGTCACCCCCACTGTCTATCACTGAAAAATGCTAAAACTTTCATAATTTCGTCATTTTTTAACAGAATATTTTTATCTATCCATTGCAATAGAACCGCAAACTCCTCAAGTTTTGATAAGCATTGCAGTATTTAAAAAAAAATTTGATTCTGAAAATATTATGAACTGAAATAGTGTAATTTTTTTACATTGGGGGTTTGAAAATCAAACGAAAGTTTACCGGTTCGATTTTTTTTTCGGTGCGTTTTGATTTATCTATTATTATTATTTAGCTTTATTAGGGAGGCTTTCAGCCTTGGGCTGGTTCGCCTCCATTTGATTTATCTAATAGGAAGCCATCCACAAATTATGTAAGGGTTTTTGAATGATAATTATATCCCCCTCTCGTCCTTGAAAGACTCTGTAAAATTTGCAGTTTCCAATCCTTCCCCCGAAAATCTTTCTAAGATTTTAAAATTTCCAGAAAATCGTTAGATATCGATTTGGGTAAATGTTTTCATGCATTTGCTCATTTACTGTATTTGGAGGTGTTTTGGCATTAAATCGTTTAGGATAAAATTATGTTTTTCACCTAATAAATTGTATGTATGAAAATGTTAACTCCTCCTAGTCCGATACTTAATTTGTGGATGATCGCAAATGTTGTATAATATAAATTATCCAAAATAATCATTTTTTTCAAAGATTTCATAGAAAATTAGCATGTAACAATACGTTTTCGATCTCATCGAAGAAAGTTGGACTCCCAACAAAACCGAAAGGTTGATTTTCTGCGGCTTTTGAGTGCATCTTTGTGCGATGATGTCTGAAAAAAAAATGTATTTACCCGTCAATATTCTCTAAAAATTGAAAAAGCTTGAGCGATTACGGATTCCGAAGACGGTCGTTGAAGATCAGTTGTGGGACTCGTATGACTCCCGGAAACAAGAAACATAAATTCAACTCCAAATAAATATACTAGCTAACAATTAGTGAATGAGATCGGTATTTCAACGCTTAGAGTTCTTACTTCAAACCCTAAGGATTCAAACTCTCAGTTTATTGCGCGAGAAGACTTCTTTTCATAATCATCTAGTCATCATTCACAAATCTTTTTATTTTCATAAGAAAATAGAGGCAACCAAAATGGAGAACTCAATATAGTTCTTTAATGTCCTGCACCGATAACACATCGAAACGCCCTCTCATAACCATTAACAAGTGTAAAATTTTAAATTGAATTAATTTTTTAATGTTTGGAATATTTGTGAACATTCTCCATTATAGCAACATAGTTTCGGCCGGTAGTGTACGGTTCATCCAGATATAATGCAGCTCACTGAACTGTTGCAAATATGTTAATTAGTACGTTACAATAATGTATTTTTTACGTTGCAGATGAGTGGATATTAAAATAATGATTCATATTGAACTGCAACAACACCGCAACGATTTGTCAACATAACTGCACCATTACGTATTATCGATAGTATCCATGTTCCAGTTATGTTGAAAATAAGTAGCAAATGCGTAGTTTGAACAATCATATAATTTGTTGAGTATGTGCGTGCTTTAAACGTCACTTGTCAGTAGCAATGTGACATCGGTGCAGCTCCTCCGTCAGCAGCCATCAGGTTTCGACATTATGAGCCACTAGTTCTGGCAATCCACCCGCTATTTGGAGCCGTTTCCAGTTCACCAGCAGTTCCGGCAATACGAGCTCCGTCTCTAACGGATCCTCAACGGCCACGTCTCCGTTCGGCGGTATGAACATATTTGGCCCCAGCTCACGCAACAACGAATCCATCGTCACTTCAGGCTTCTCACCGTTTTATTTAGCCCTTTGGAACACCCGGTCGGTTGAGAGACTACGGCCACGCCAGCCGCTGTTGGCATCGTCTTTAGTCACCATCGTCCCCCGCCATCCTATCGTCCTCGTCGTGGTCTTCCATTTCCTATGCATTACGATTCCTCCGGTTTCGCCAATGTTGTCCAAAAATATTTTACAACATCAAAGTGACAAGACATATATGAGCCATGGTAGATACTAGATGGTTACATCAAACCTTTACAGTGACAACTTGATTCAGTTGGTTGCAAAACGAAGTTTGAAAACTTATAGATTTATACGCTTAATTGGAACAAGATTGCAAATAGGTTTTCGAAACAGTTGCTCAATAGGTACAAAACACATATAGTTCACACTCTGTTTCACTAAACTTTTAGGAAACTTAATGTTTTATGGAACTCTCATTCAACAAACACAACACAAGTTAAATTTGTTGCTCAAGTGTTTCATACAATATCACGTAGCATATAACTTCATACCAATTTGAGTGTAACATGCTTGCTCCTCTCATTTGAGGCATGATTTGACAGGTCATCCAAGCAGTACATTGAAACAGTTGAGTTTCATTATTGTGACCTAAAGTAAATGAAGCAACAAAGTTGAAACTTTGTCGTATCAAGATGTATTTCCTGTACCATTTAAGGGTTTTCTGGGCAACTGAAATAAAAAAAATAAAAGAATTGAGATGTTTTCTGTGTTGCTTGGGTAGGGCACCATTTGTTCAGCAAACTTCCAATTTAAATTGCAAACGGTAGCACCGATAACGATTGCGGGTGACGAGTGAAGTCAGCTGCAGTAATTGGAACGGAAATGTGGTAGCGAACGAGAGAGCTGAGTGGTGTGAGTGCGACTATGGGTGGATGGTGAGGAGGATAGAGAGTTCGGGAGAGTCGGTGTGTAGCGTTGCCTCTAGGCAGATGTGCGGTAGAATAATGGTAGAGACGGTAGTGGACGTGAGATGCGAAGCACGAGGTTCGCGTCACTGCAAGAAGATGAAGATCGTTGGTTTCATGACAGAACGACGCCATCAGACAGCGACTATCAGATCATCGTCCGCAAGCCACCGCCATCAGGCCACTGTTATCAGGTCACCGTCATCCGGTCACCGTCATCCGGTCACCGCCATCTAGGCACCGCCATCCGGGCACCGCCATCCGGGCACCGCCATCCGGGCACCGCCATCCGGGCACCGCCATCCGGGCACCGCCATCCGGGCACCGCCATCCGGGCACCGCCATCCGGGCACCGCCATCCGGGCACCGCCATCCGGGCACCGCCATCCGGGCACCGCCATCCGGGCACCGCCATCCGGGCACCGCCATCCGGGCACCGCCATCCGGGCACCGCCATCCGGGCACCACCATCCGGGCACCGCCATCCGGGCACCGCCTTCTGGGCACCACCATCCGGGAACCGCCATCTGGCCACTGCTACCAGGCCACCGCCAGCAGGCCACCGCCAACAGGCCACCGCCAGCAGGCCACCGCCAGCAGGCCACCGCCAGCAGGCCACCGCCAGCAGGCCACCGCCAGCAGGCCACCGCCAGCAGGCCACCGCCAGCAGGCCACCGCCAGCAGGCCACCGTCAGCAGGCCACCGCCAGCAGGCCACCGCCAGCAGGCCACCGCCAGCAGGCCACCGCCAGCAGGCCACCGTTATCCGGTCACCGCCATCTGGGCACCGCCATCTGGGCACCGCCATCTGGGCACCTCCATCTGGCCACCGCCAGCAGGCCACCGCCAGCAGGCCACCGCCAGCAGGCCACTGCCATCTGGCCACCGCCATCTGGCCACCGCCATCTGGCCACCGCCATCCGGCCACCGCCATAGGGGTGCTTCCCTAAGGCTGCTACCATACGGTATTGGTCACCAACATCCGGCTGTCACTAACTGGCCGCCACCATCTAGACAATGCCAAGCTCATCATATTGGTTCGCATAACAAATAAATGTAAGGTAAATTCTACTTTTATAGTTGGATAGGAATTCCCCACAATCCGAAAGCTTCCCCACGCAAAAACGCCCTGGGACCCGGAACCAAAAGAGGCCTTGAGTGCCCACCCCAGGAGCTGCCGTTGGCTTAAGACCATCAGCTCGGGGCTTAGGCTGGTTCCCATCTGGGACTAAGCGGTTCCGGGGCCATAAGTGTTTCAACTTGTATATTCCTAACAAGAAGTTTATATTAACTTTCATATTTATTTTTAGACATATACACATAATAATTAGACATTTAACAATTAATCATTGAAATTTTAATACGAATAGGTTTTTATTCGGCAAGCAAGTTGGGATATTACGTCGCAACGGTAACAACCTATTGGCCAAATTTCAGTGCTCTAGGACTTTTTTACCCCCTGACGATAATAGGTTAAGGTATTGCCGAAGCCAACATTTCCCCTATCTCTTTGTTAAACATTTAACTCTGTATTACGTTTTGAATAGAATCTGGAACAATTGAAAACGATATCTCGATGGTGAACCCTTCGTTTTGGTGATATTTCTAATACTCAGGCTGTATCTTTCAGAACGCCACACAGTGACACGAGCTCGGCCAAAATCTCTAAAAGTTATGATTTTTCTGAGGTGGCTGAGCTCTCTATTATGGCAATCGCCCAGGTCCCTGGTCTAGAGCCACGGGGACCAACGGGGTGGGCTTTCCACCAGCCTCTTTTGTTGGCTTAGCTCACGACTCTTCCCCAGGTCGTATCTCGACAAAGAGTGAGATGGTGAGGCTGATCAGGGCACAAATAACCTTCTACACGGTCTTCTTTTAGACACTTTTTATTTAGGATATCACGTTACTTACGTATAATAGGGTGTGTGTGTGTGTGTGTGGGTGTGTGAATGGCCGGCCGGCGTGCTGGATCGTAGATCGCTGGGCGGATGACCCAGCGGATGATCTGCTAGTTTAGGAATGACGCGATTTCGTGTCTCCCGACGCTCGCTTGGTTGACCGCTCCGACGGTCTAGACAGCGTTCGGTTGATCGCCAGTGATTGCGAGGAACTTCACGCTCGCTAGAAGGGTTGACCGCTCCGACGGTCTAGACAGCGTTCGGTGGCTCAACGCTGAACAGCGGAGACTTAAACTAAGGACAATGGGTCCTTGGGTTAAAACAATGGGAGATCTTATTAAATGGAAACTACTGGGCAGTTGGGTTAGGTATGTTACCTGATTCTTTGATTAACGCGTTCCTGAGGGTTTTTATACTTAATTTAACATGAAAGTCACTTCGACTTGAATTGTTTGAACACTTGAATTGTTTAAACAATTGGACTTTGTCTGTGAATCTATCGATACTAGTCTGTGAGCTATGCTCGAAACCTCCTTTGAGAAGAGCTGAAGTGGAAAAGAACTTGCCCATTCGATCTGACCCAGTAGTAACCTCTTATTTGACCGTACTCCCTGTTTCCACCCGTCATACTTTTCATTTATTTCCCTCTTCTGTGAACCGATCCTGGTTGTGGTGTCTGTATGGGAAGTGTACCTTATGTTTTACAAATTGTGTTCTGATAATTTTAATTTTACCGTTTCTTTGGAGTGGTATTTTTAATCTGTTCTGCTATTTCTTTACATATTTTCATTTGTTTTTAAAAAAATTAAGTTTTATAACATAGAACATTAAGTAAATAAACAATAACTTTCGGCATAACCGTTAAATAAATAGATTAATATTATAGATAACTCAATAGCATATTGCTAGCAACAGTCGGCCTTGCTCGTTCATACTTAATAGCAGTATGGATTGCCGATACCTACACTCACTCTCATTGCTCAGTGCTGGTGATATAGGATAAACTACCCAAACGGTAACATATTTTATTTTTTTTTCTAGGATTCCCGCACATTGGATAACATTTTCTCAAAATTTCGTGATTATTGGATGTTTGAGAACACTTTTAACGTTGCTAGGTCAGCCTAAGTCACGTATCTGCAGGTATAAAATAGACCCCACTAGCGGTCCTCTTGTCCAGTAACTCCGATCCCTACCTCCCCACGGTGCAGCGTGGGGTACGAGTAACCATAGGGAAGTATGGGTAACCAATTCCGGTGGGACCTTAGTCGTATGTTGACAAGGAAGGGGCGAAAGGTGGTAACTCCTCTCTCCGGAGAGTGTAGTCTTCGAGCGTCTGTTCACCATGGAGGTGCGGCTCAAGACGGCGTCTGTTCTCCATGTTAGGAGCGGCTGATCAACGTCCGTGTGCCAGCGTGGGACTCTAAACAATGCTGTGCACGATGGTCTCCCGGCGAGACAATGGGGATTGGTCAATCCAGCCGTAAAAAAAACAAAAGTACAGGAAGCAAACAATGTAAATAAGGACCGGAACAATCGGCATAGACCCAAGCATCGGAAACGGACTAACAATTGGAAGTTCGGAACATGGAATTGCAAGTCTCTCAATTTCTCTCGCATTCTTTCCGATTTATTGAGGGTCCGCAAGTTCGACATCGTAGCGTTCCAGGAGGTTTGCTGGAAGGGATCGTTTGTACATACGTATAGGGATGGTTATATCATCTACCAGAGCTGCGGAAATACACATGAGCTGGGTACAGCTTTCATCGTGATAGGCGAAATGCAGAAGCGCGTGATTGGGTGGTGGCCAATCGATAGCGGAATGTGCAAGTTGAGGATCAAAGGCCGTTTCTTCAATGTCAGCATAATCAACGTGCACAGCCCCTACTTAGTAAGTGACGATGACGATAAAGACGCTTTTTACGCGCAGCTGGAACGGGAATACGACAGCTGCCCAAGCCATGACGTCAAATTCGTCATCGGAGATCTTAACGCTCAGGTCGGCCATAGCCGGTTATAGGAAAGTGCAGACCGGTTATAGGAAAGTGCAGCGCTCACCAGCTAACAAACGCCAACGGTATTAGACTCATCGATTTCACCACCTCAAGAACATGGCCATACGTAGTACCTACTTCCAGCATAGCCTCCCATATCGGTACACCTGAAGATCACCACAGCAGACAGAATCGCAAATCGACCACGTTTTAATCGACGCCAGGACCTATCGTGGCGCAAATATCGATTCGGACCACTACCTCCTAATGGTCAAGGAGCGCCAAAAACTTTCCGTTGCCAACAACATTCGGTACCGACGCCCGCCACGGTACAATCTGGAGCGACTGAAGCTGCCCGAAGTCACAACTGAGTACGTGCAATGCCTCGACGCAGCGTTGCCGGATGAGGGAGAGCTCACCGATGCCTCTCTTGAGGACTGCTGGAGCAACGTGAAAGCAGCCATTAACAGCGCTGCTGGTTCGACGAAGAGTGTCAGACGGTTTTGGACGAGAAAAACGCAGCGCGGGCGGCGATGCTGCAGCAAGAAACCCGTCATAATGTGGAGCGATATAAACAGAAGCGAAGACAGCAAACCCATCTTTTCCGGGAAGAGCCTGGAAGAGCTCGAGTGCAAAGAAATAGAACAGCTGTATCGTTCTCAAGAAACACGCAAGTTCTACAAGAAACTCAACGCATCCCGCCAAGGATTTGTGCCGCGAGTCTAAATGTGTCGGGATAAGGAAGGGACGAACGGACGAACGTGAGTTGATTGAAAGGTGGAAGCAGTACTACGATGAACATCTACCGGAGGAGTGGAAAGAGGGAGTAATTGGCCCAGTATATAAAAAAGGCGACAATTTAGAACGAGCGATCACTATTCTTAACGCGGCCTACAAAGTGCTTTCCCAGATCATCTTTCGCCATTTATCGCCGCTAGCAAGCAGATTTGTGGGAAGTTAGCAAGCCGGTTTTGTGGACGGGCGATCGACAACGGACCAAATCTTTACGTTGCGGTAGATCCACCAAAAGTGTCGTGAATATCAAGTCTCTACGCACCACTTATTTATCGATTTCAAGGCGGCTTATGATGCTATTGAGCTATGGGACGAGAACGGTTTTCCCGGGAAGCTGACCAGACTGATCAGGGCTACGATGGGTGGGGTACAGTGCTGCGTGAAGATATCCGGTGCGTTATTATTATTTTTTTATTTGGGTAGGGATACTTTGAATGTGCATTTTATGATACTTCTTGTTTTTCGTCACTTATGTGATTTTTGCTAATAGTCTCATAACAAATTTGTGGGCAATCCAATTAATGTAAATTGGCCTTGATAAATGTGATAAGGAAATAAATCGGAATGTACTATACTTCCAGTGAGATATGAAGTAAATCTACTGTGAGCATCGATTGGAATCCGAATGCCAAAGTGCCACAAAGGGATACGATCAACGTGTGTATTGCCAGTTGGGGAACGCTGGTATAATTTTCACATCGTCAGTATTCTGCGAAAACATTTCTTCCAAATAGCCAGCACCATTAATTATCGCTCCACAGTCGGCAGGATCCACCTCTTTTCCTCGCCCGTGCTCAATTTAATAGCACACTTGTAAACTGCCAATGTGCGCACCAATTCGCAGAGCTCATCAATGCATTGCTTTTCTCGATTCTGGTTGCACTCATCTCCTTTCATGCCCAATTCTCTATCCAAGTCGGCCGCGCAACAAGGCAATCTCTCCAGAGACGTTGGCTAAAAGTTATTCTCGCCTGCTACTTGTTTGTGTCTGTGTGTATGCATGTATGTATGCAAGACCATGATGCAACCATTCCAAGAGCTGCCACTTTTAATATCAATAAGTTGTTTCTCGTTCTGCTGCTTCGCTTCGGGTTGCTTTGTTGCATTTTTCCTGAGGGTGGAAATTTTCTCACAGTTGTACCGAAAGTTTACCGCCTCTCTCGATGATTTCCAATGTGGTGTGGAAATGGTTCGGGTACACTCAGATCGATTAGAACTATTTTTCAGCAATGTTTCGCACCTACCTACA